CATAAAAAAAACAAGAAGTATTTAAATATTTATTTAGCGCAATTATTCAAATTTTGAATAATGTTAAAAATGAATTTATTGATGTTTTAGAATAATTTTACTTTTGAAGGAATTTGTAAATAAATTTAATAAAACATTTTTTGAGTATGTAATAATTTTTAGAGTGAATTGAGGCTGTAGATCTTAAAAGGGAACTTTTAGCATTAATTTTAAATGGTAAAAGAGCCCTTTTAAGATCCGGAGCCTCAATTAGGGTTTTCTTTAGTGTCAAGGAAAAAGTCAAAATTCTGTCTGGAAATCAGGGAAAAGTCAGGAAAAAACAAAGTTAAATTTTTGTGGCAACTATGTTATATCAATAACAATATTTCTAATATTCTTCTAAAACTCTATATTTGAGACAAGGTTTTTTCTAAAAAAAAAATTATATATTTATATATACATGTATATATATTTCAGAAAAATTGGCTGCACTGCATAAAAGAGTAGTGAATGATATGAAGCTGAAGAATGATAAAAAGAAAAAATACAACATGCAAATACCAACTCTTAATGACAGTGGCTTCTGTGCGCAGCTGAGTCGACTCTGGGATTTATTGGATTCCAATAAAAGTAGTCCAACAGACTTTTTGAATGACGCTGCATACAGTTGCTGTCAAGAAAGAGTTGAATATTTTGCAGTGTCACTACAATTATCAGATTTATCATCCGATGAAGGAAATGCTGCTGAAGAAGACGAGGAAACAAATAATAATTTATTAAACCCAGAAGTAATATTAATAGAAGAACCAAATCTTGACGACAACATTGATCTTAACAATTCCACTGCTTCTGCTGACGATCCTTTAAATGATCCAACCGCAGCAAATCATGTTGAACAAAGAATTGTAACAGAAGGTAAAAATAATAATTTTATTATTTAAGCAGGGCTCGAACTAGGTCCGTAAATCCCGTAAAAGTCCGTTTTTTAAAAAAAGGACCGTAAAGTCTGCAATTTGATTGAAAAAGGATGAAAAGTTCGTAAATTGTACGATAGAATTTGGAAAATCAGGGTGACCACATGTCAGTAAAGTCAGGAAAATTTAGAAAATTAGGAATTTTTCCACTTACTTTTTAAAAATTGCGACTTTCTCGACTTTTCTTCCAAATATTGCAACAAAATATATTTATTTAGTATTAAATGTGTACCTGATTTCGATTTTTATAGTGCAAAAAATAACTAAAAAATCAAACCTTTCAAAAATTATTTTTGAATCATTTTTCTATTTAAATTTTTGAAATATTCATTTAAAAAGATTTTGAATAATTGAAATTTTATAATATTTAATTGAAAATAATTAATTTTTTTCAAGTATTTTGTTAAAATTTTTAAAAGTCAACTTTTGAAGAGTTTTAATTGCAAATTTCCAAAATAATTGAATTATTAATACAATATTTTAATCGAATTCCTCAAAAAAATTCTTAAAAATTTTATTAAAATTCTTCGAAAGAATTCAATTATATAAAAATTTGTTGAAATTCTTTATGGGAATTGAATTTTAAGAAATATTAAATTATTCAAAAAACTATTTATTTTTGTATTTAAATAATTTAATTCTAGTAGAATTTTCTCATAAATATTGATTTAAAAATGGATTGAAATAGAAATTTTAGATTATAATTGAATATTAAAAGTATTAGAGCATAAATTTTGGAAAATAATTGAATTTTGGAAAGGTTTCAGATTAAAATGTTTGAAAATTAGAATTTTTCATATTTTTAACTAATAAGTCTGTGGAATTAATTTTTTTTGAGAAACTTTAATTGCGGATTTTTTTTAAAATTATTTAAAGTTTTTATTTTTTAATATATATTTAATTGAAGAATTTACGAATAATTGAAATTTTGTAAAATTAAATTGCAAACAAACGAATTTAAAAATTCTTAAAGAACTTTTTCAAAAATTATTAAAAATAATGGATTTATAGTGTTAAAAAGTAATAAAATTCTTCTTAGGGATTCAATTATTTTCACAAATAATAAAACTCATCGAAGAATTTCAATTCTTTTTAATACAATTTGAATCGAATTTCTCGAAAAATGTAATTATTCTTCAAAATGTTATTAAAATTCGTTGATAGAATTCAATTGTTTGAAAATTTGTTGATAATGATTCTTGATGATTTTTGGTTCGTAAAATCCGTATTTTTAAATACTTTCACTGGTTCGAGCCCTGTTAAAAATTCTACAACATATTGACAGTGTTGGACAATATTATTAAAAGAATAGGTATTAATTAAATTTATTATTAAATAATTTTTTTTTATTTTAATAAATTGAATTTTCGTTTTTAAAGATAGAGTTTTGGAATGCTGCACATGTAAAACTTCAACACCAACAATTAGCTTACATTCATGTGGACATGTGATAATGTGCGAGGAGTGTTGGCATTATTACTATAATGTCCAAAAAAAAGAATTTGTCCATATTGCAAGAAAACATTCGATGAAGGCCAGTGGAACAAATTACTTTATTTGTAATATTCTAACACTGCAAAATAAGACTCTTTTTTGCAGTAAAATTATGTTAATGAAAAGTTAAACTAATGTTTAACTAATGTTTCAGATTTTTCATTTTAGTAAGATGATTTTTTTTTCTTTAAAACAATTTCCTTGACAGTTCGAAATTGTTGATTTATTGATGATCAACATTATTAATGTTGATTAATCAATAATTATTAATTATTAATATAAAATTAACATTAACAGAATAAAAAAAATATATAAAAAGAAGTAAATTTACACTTGAACTATATTATTTCAGGTTGTGTTACACAGTGTAGAAATAAACGCAAGCGCGAAAAATCCTGTGTCCAATTCTACGTTTAAAATTAAACAATAAAAACGTTAAAAAAATAACATTTTCTTTAAATTTATAAAAACTGATATTATTGCTTTATTTAGAAATAACTTAACATTAATTATTTGTTCACAAAACTCATAAATATATTTATCTTTCTGAAAGCACTCTCTCAACTCACTATAATGCAACTTTTTGTACTGTCATCTAAACTAGCGATTTTCAAAGTTAAATAAAACGTATTAAAATTTGTTAACAATTTTTTAAAGAAGTTCTTTAAAAAATTTAATTATTTTCATTTGAATTTTACAAAACTACTATTAATTCAATAATTTTTTAAAATTTATTTACATACTATATTTCAATCAGCAACTGATTTTTTACTATTAATTAAATTAATTATTTTTAACTAATTCAAATTTAGAGAACAGTATAAATATCTATAAAAATTGCAATGAAAAATGATTTTTTAAACACAAATGAAAATAATAAAACTTTTTTTAATTTAGTGAAAACATTCCCGGTTTGACATAAAATTCCTGGCTTATTCCCCGTTTTTCCGGGTCAAATTAAATTCCCGACTATTTTCCAGTTATAGTAGACATCCCGTTAAAGTTTTTAGCATATTGTTAAAGATTTGTAGTTTCAATTTGTTGTTTCAACTTGTCAATTAAAACCTGTGGTTTCTTGTGTATTTTTAAGAAAAACCTATAATTTTTAGAGGCTTATCGAGAGATTTATCGAGTACTCGAAATTTTTGAGTATTCAATTTACTTCCAGCTTTTAAATTAAAAAAAAATTTTTATACAAAAAAATTTAATTAAAAATTAAAATGGGAAATTTTGGATTTTTTCAATGACTCCAGCTTTTAAATTAAAAAAAAAAATTTTTGTACAAAAAAAAATTTAATTAAAAATTAAAGTAGATAATTTTTAATGTTCTCAAGGGCTCAAATCAAATCGGTTACTAGAAAATTTTGAGAAATCGAAATTGTTCAAGCTTTTTATAAAGCTCAGCTCGGCTCGAAAAATTAAAAGCTCGAAAATACTCGATTGAGCTTCGAGCTTTTTGCATACCTCTACTAATTTTTAATTTTAGACGTTGTAAAAAAACCCTATATGTGATTTCAAGTGTATTTCTACAAATAAATTTTATGAGAAATACTACATACCCGGTTGCACAGGGTTGATACAAAAAATTTAATTTAGTTTTTCTCTGACTTTCAAACAAAATGTTGACTTTTTTTCTGACTTGAAAAAAATTATATTTATTTAAAATAAATATTTAATCGTTACTATCTTTCCATAAGAATTAAGATTTTTTTAAATTTCCAATTTAAACCTTTTAAAATTTTAATAACTTATAAGAACATTATTACTATGTAACTTTTTCAAAATTAATTTTTTCAATGTTTAAAATTGAAAATTAGGCCTATAAATTTATATTTCAAAATTAGAATTAAGATTATAATTATTTAAACTTTATAAATATTGTAAAGCACACAAACATTTATTTAAAAAATTTTTTAAATAAAAGAAAATCAAATGAAATTTGATTTTGTTTTTCCCAGACATTTTCTTGTTTCCAAAACTGAATTTTACTTTATTTTCTAATCTCTAAGAAAACAAAAAGCAAGAATAGAATAACTACAAAAATCATTTATTAAATTTAAAAATTTGATTTAAAACTTTAAAATAAAGAATAATGAAAGATCAATTATTATCGATTAGATACGTACCATTTTCAAAATTTGAAAATAGCTGAAAATTGTGAGTGTGTGAATCGATAAAGTTGAGTTGAAGGACACAAAAGAAACAAAAACAGAGAAAGAGAATTGTCAAGGTAAATCTAAGCAGATAAGTATTTTTTTCGTTGAGAAAATTAATATAATGATTACTGAGATATTAATTTTCTTTCTTTTTTAATATAAAATTATAGTTTCTGAAGAATATTATTTTTGTGTTTTTTAAAATTAAATTTGAACTAAAAAAACAGAGTTTTTTATGTAATTTAGGAAATTTGTTATTTATCTAAAATTATGCTTTTCGAGAAAAATTACCTATGTATTTTGATGCAAAATTTTTTCACACAAAAATATTAATTTATTTAACGTATTCTTTTTTTTGCAAATAAAAGAATTGAGTGAATTATATAATACAAAACTGAACAATGTATTTAAGCGTTTATATTTTGCAACGGAAAAGGCGCAAAAATTATTACTTCATGTTTACATCTCATAAGACGAGGGAAGGAGGACGCTTAAATGTGAGAGAGAACGAGCGATTTAAGAATTGCTAGTGCGATTCGCGCCTTTTCCGTTGAATAATATAGACGCTTCTAACATTGTTCAGTTTTCTTTTAAATAATTCACCCAATTCTTTTATTTGCAAAACAAAAATGAATAAAGATTATGTGTGGGATGATTACCGCTATATGATTAATAGCAAGAGTGATACTGCTACGTGAGTATATATTAATACATTTTAATTATTTCATATAAATTATTTTTTTTGTGTGAATAAATTTTCCATCAATGACTACACGGTGAGTTCAAAAAAGTGCAAAAAATTACGAACAGCAAAGTCTCAGTGGTTTCTGGTAGTTTGTGTGCTCCATATATAAAAGCCCCATAGTTTGCTCTCGATTCCCGGTTGCGAAAAATAGTTTAAACAATCGTCAAAGTTTGTATAAAGTGGTTATTGGATAAACGTTGCTACTGGTTAATTTTGAGGGTAAAAAAATGTTATTAAAAGTTGTAGTGCTTGAAAATAGCTTTTAAATGATGGGTCATATGTTAAAAAAGGTTAATTAGTTTAGTTGCAAATAAATTTAAACGATTAAAAATTGCACTTTTTTAATTGTTTAATAACTTTTGTTAATGATTATGGAATGTGTTTATAATTTACTAGGAATATTTCCCTTGCAAGGCTAAATAAATATGTACAATTCAGAAAAAGTTGCAACTATGTAGCTGAATTAGATAAAAAGTTGTAAATAAAGATTAATAATTTGTTTAAACAAATTAGCAATTACATAAAATAATGTTTAAAAATCAATATTTGTGTTATTTATTCATAATCTAGGAAAAAACTTTGATAAAAATAGTAAAAAATATTTTTTAACGATTTTTTTGTAATTTTTGAAATTTATGGGTTTCTTTTGGGTACTATAAAAAATAGTTAATATTAAAAAATGATTAAATAAACAATTTAACACTATTCTTTAAAGTCTTCTGAAGAGAAACAGTTTGCTGAATGAAAAATATTGATTTTCAAGGATTCTATACCAATTCTACGAAAAAGTGTTTTTCCCCATGCATTTTACATGGGAAACTTGGAGCGCTTTGAGCGACCTCTAAAATTCCGATTTTATTTTTTTCCATGCATTTTTGGACCAACCTAATCTTCATACAATAAAGGATTACGCGTGCATTTTAAAAAAATTTATTGCTTTTTCTTTATATTTTATTCAATTAGAATTTACAATCTTTTTACAATGAAATTTACACATTAAAATAATAATACAACTTACTGTTGTAACTGTTTACCTTAGAATTTAAAGGATTGATTATTTTTTGGCAGTTTAAACATTACTTTTATTGTCTTCAGCCATTTGATTAATATTTGTGTAATGTACATTCATATTTCCAGATCATTTGTTTGCTGCAAATACAAATCTGGTCAATGTGGTGGTCGTGGAACACTTGAAAATGGTAATTTTGAAGTAACTCAACAGCACAACCATAGGCCAAATCTGTTAGAGTTGGAAGACAGAGCATTTAAGAGGGCTTTGTTCGATAAAGTGACAACTTCCAGAAAAAGTGATAAAAAAATTTATCAACAAATTCGATTATTGTAAGCTTAAAATATTACTTACATTCATTTATTTTTATCATTTACATTTATTAAGAAAAGTATTAATAATACAGTGGGTTAAGACAAGTCAAAAAGTTCAGATAAAAGTCAGGAATTTTGTTTGTTATAAATTCTGGATAAAAATCAAATTTCTAGAAATACAACAAAATTAATTTTGAAAAATATGGAGATCAAATCCAATCAGATTCGCTATATTTTTCCTGAAATCTACACATGAAAACACATAAAATAAGGAAAACTGTAGTCCAATAGGCCAAGAATTGTGAAAACGAAGGGGGATGTACACACTTTTTTTCTAAAACGAGAAAAATTTTCGAGCTTGCAAAAAGAGATTTTAGTTTTTTGATGAAAACACCATGAAGATCAATTCTATAATCATTTCCGCAATACTTTTCCTGTAATCTACGCGTATAAATACATAAGTATGACAATTTCCAGCTGTCTAGTTAAAAAAAACTGGGTTCTCTGATTTTTATGTGTCCTGCAATTCAACTTGATCGATTTATATACTCACAATTTTAGACTATTTTCAAATTTTGAAAATGGTACGTTTCTAATCGATATAAATTGACCTTCAATTAGATAGGACTACAAAATTTTTTTTAAAGGAACATAGAAAAAATAAGTGTTAAATTTGTTGCGTGTACACTGTAAAAAAAGGGAGTTAAATTTTAACTCCCCAGGGGATTCTATAAAAGTCGCACACAATGTATTATTTTACTTCCTGTGAAGTATTGAGCGAACCATGGTTTTTATGTTTTTTGGGTCGCTGAATTTAAATCCTAACTCAGTTTTCACCATCACGTCAAGATTCTTTAAAATGTCGAATCCAATGTGGCGGTCGAATTTTTTAAAAATTTATCAGATTTTGAATTTTTGAAATCTAAGGTGAAACTCGTATTTAGTAAACCCAAAAAACCACCGGGTAAACAAGTTTCAGGCATATTAAGTGGATTCAAAAAGAATTAACGCCATATTGAATTCGCCATATAAAATTTTGAGTATGTATGAGTTTCTTTGATTGCTTAACATTTTGCTTTTTTGAGAAAAGAAAATAAAGAAAAAAAAGTAAAATTCAGTTTTGGAATCAGGAAAAAATCTGGGAAAAACAAAATCAAATTTGATATTTCTTTTATTGAAAAAGTATAATTAATTATAATCGTAATTCTAATTTTGTATTTTAAATTTATAGGCATTCTCAAGCTTCTATAAGATTGCCATTTCCAAAGTTGGAGAGCAATATGCGGAAATAGAGAAAAAAATTTTCTCCTCCAACTGCAGATTCATTAGCCTCATATGCTGAAATTGTCAACTCTGCCAATTGGCAAAACATAAAAGACTACGATGCTGGGTCCATAGACATTTCACATGTTTTGGCGGAGGATGGATCTGAATCTGTAGTATTATGTGACATCAATTTTGCGCAATCTGTATACGATACTCCAGTCATATAAATTGATGGCACATTTAAAGTTGTGCCACCAGCTGTCAAAGGAAGACAACTATTATCGCTTATGGCTATTAAGTATGATTATGCAAGTAAATAATTTAAAATTAAAAAAAAATTTCAATTTTAAAGTCTATCTATTAAACTGTATTACATTTTTAAAAAATTGTTCCTCTTTTGCTTACAATTAGACATTCCAATGCTTATATTGCTCTTACATTTATGTTTGTTTATCAAACAAATTTAATATTGGTGTTTTGTTAATTGAATTTTTTTGAACCCTTCTTTTTCAGCGTTGAAAAAAATTTTAGCTTATATAAATTTTCTGTATGTTGAAGTTCAAATTAAACTTGGTTACGTTTGTAATTTTGACATTACGTAAATTGTAAACACAAAAAAAATGAATGAAGAATCTTAAAAGTGGGGATTTTTCATTTCTCCTCTTGCGCTCGTAATAGAGGGAGACTTGACTCCCGAACTTCTCGTTATAGCGAGATTCGAGTGTAATAAAATTTATATTGAACAAATCTTTTTTATACCAATGAAATTTTAATTTACAAAATTTTTATTTAACAGAATTTCTATATTTTGCCGAAGGTTTATAATGAAGCAGATTTTCTAGTTTACATCCGAATTATTATTTTTATTAACAAAATTTTCATTCAACTGAATTCACATTTAACACTGTTTAACAGGACTTTTAATAAATTGAAATTTTCATTAAATATAGTTTTTATTTTAATAAACTATATAATTTATTTCTCATAATTTTTATGAATTATTATTATTTATTTGAAATAATTATTGTTATTGTATTTAGTGATATATAAATTAAGATATATTAAAAGTAATAAATCTATACATAATTTTAAGGCTATTCCATTTGCTTGGGTCCTTATGAGCCATCAAACCACTGAAGCATATGTTTCAGTTTTTAGAAAACTGAAACTTTTGATGCTAACATTCAGTATAAGGGGTCAATGTCCGATTATGAGAATGCATTATTAGCAGCATTAAGAAGAGAGTTTCCTGGAGTTTTTACTCATGGCTGCCTTTTTCATTATAACCAAGTAATATTGTTTTACAGTATATTTATTAGTAATTAGTAAGTTTCTATTAATGAAATAGTGCGGATTCGTTTACCAATTTAAATTAGTAACATTTTTTGGGGCGCATGAATAGTTTGCCTGAATTTTCATTAAATCGATCATCAATGTTAAAGAATTTTGAATCGTAAGAATAGTAAAATGAGACAGAAATTAAATATGACTGAATTTTAATTGTTGCGAATAGTTGTTTGGCAGAATTTAAATTAAGGGGGAGTGACACATTTGACCCGAAAAAAATCGAATTTTCTTCTTTTTGCTTAAACGATACTTTATAATGTGTAGAATAGAAATTATATCATTAGAGATGATTTCGAAGTTATTTTATATGAAAAAATCAAAATCTGCAAAAGGTGTCCAAGAGCGCTTCAAGTGCTTTCAAAATTTTATACGCGTTTTTCTCGAAATAACGTTTTTCAAAACGGTGGGCAGTCTAGCTAGAACTGTTTCGATCGGATTGACTTCAGACAAATTTTTTTCTGATCGTCATTTACTAATGCTTTCGAGTACGTAGTGGATTTTTTTTTGGTTTCTTTGTTTTTTTTTGCAACAGATTTTTTGACAAATTTTCGACCTAAAAATCGACATTTTACCAACTACCAACTTCGGCGCCCTCTATAGACAACAAATTTGACATTTTTTTTACATATAAATATATTTTTGTAACTTAAAAAGTTAACAAATAAATCCCTCAAAACCAAATTTTGTTTACTTTATTCCCGTGTCTTAAAAAAATTCATGAAAAACAGGTTCAAAAGAGGCCTCAAAGGTGTCACTCCCCCTTAAACTCGATAGAAATTTTAAGTAACCCAGGAGGAAAAGTCGGACGAATGTCGGAGTTTACAACCGCCTGGGATCCGCGCCCGTGCGGACCGCCAGTACCGATGTTTTGTACCGATTCGGATCCCAAAATTCAACCGGCGCGGAACAGATTAGGCTCAGAATTTTGGATCCGCCTTTCTACTTTCGTCAGTACTGGCGTGGTGCTGGGGCGGATCCGACTGCGGATCTCGTCATTGATTGTTATAATTTACATTATCAGTATAATCATAAATTTATTTTATTATATATATCATAGCTAATTAATTATTACAATAACTAATTGCATTTATTATAATAATAATATTATTATTATTATTATTATTATTATTTAACCAATAAATAAATTAAATGTATTGATGCAAAGGAAGAATATAAGAAACTTAATTTTTTCATTATATTTATAAAAATCCAACTTTATTAATGTGCAATTAAATAAATAATTTTTAATAAATAATAATATTAACTTGAAAGAAAATGTGTTCAATATATAATAATACCTACAATAAATAACACATTAAATAAATATATAAAAAACAGATTATTAATTAATTCATTTATTGTTAATTAATTAATAATCTCTTTTTAATTTAAACAATATATTAAGTAATTATTTATTGACACTTTTCTGCAAATTAAATAATTAAAAAAATGTGTTGTGCATTCAAATTTCATTTAATTATTAATAATTACGTAATAAAATATTAAAAAATATAATAATAAAATAACAATTTTAACAAGTTCTTTTTTAAACAAAATATTAAAATATTCATAAATACCGGTATAACATCAGTCCGTATTTGAAAATTGTTTATTGGCGCGTAGTAATTTTACAATTTTCATTTTAGCTAGTGAGAATTGAAAGCATTTAAGATTTGAGAGTTCCATGCGAGCGTAGCATAGTGGTTAGCGTGCGTGATTTCGGTGCGTAAATATTCGGTTCGGTGCGTAGGTTCGTACCCCCAAGCGTTAGGATTTTTCAAATGTAAATATAAAAAAATACCGTTAAGTGTATAAAAAATGTGTAAAGTGAACTATAAATGAATTGTCATCAGTATTTATCTTTTGCAATTAATTATTATTTTTTATTGATATTTGTTGAAATTATTATTTTGATCCGAGCCGGTTGTCAGGCGGTAGAATGCCAGCATTGCCAGCGCACATCTGGCTAGGAAATGAAAGATCCGCAGTCGGTACAGTGCCGGGTCCCAGCCGGTTGAATTATACACGGAACGGCTCTTCGCGGCCGGTTACCGGGCGGTAGAATGCCAGTTCTGAGACGGATGGCCAGCCAGCTCCTGGCCAAGTCATCTTTTGGTAGAATACCAGTTCTCGGGCGGTAGGCAGGCGGTTCCCAGCCAGTACCACTACTCCGGCGTCGGTACAGGCGAGGATCCGCGCCGGTTGCAAATTTCCCACTGGGAAGATTAAATTAGCTGAAAGAAAAGTAGAAAGAATTAGGGGAAGTGCGCCGGTTGTGGGCACCCTCCGGTTGTGGGCACCCCTACGTAAACTTCGACGGCAAGCAGACTTTACTGATCTAAGTATTGCAAGTCGTGTTCGTTGACAATACGGACTTTTCGTATTGATAACGAAACAAATATATGCATTTGTGTAATAGCTGTGAGCATAATAAAGAAAATTTGCATTAAATAAATAAAAAAGTAATTTTGTATTGTTTTCGAAGAGCAACATATGGGTGTAGATTCGTTCAGAAAAAAAGGGTTTAATTTTTTTTTTGCAGTGTTGTCATTATATTTTGTGATTTACCTTCGTGTTTAACCAAAATCCTGCATCACAAAATGTGTTGGTCTTTTTAAAAAATGACTGTCATTCCCGGTTGTGGGCACCTTTATGTTAAGGAGGCTCTACCATCTGACAATGATGAGGACTACTGTCTCATCTGTCTAAACTTTCTGCCAAGGAAAGTGACAGCCGCAAACTCCATTAAATGCGATGAATATAGTCGTTCAGTGCATTAGAAGTGCGTTATGGTATGCGTACTAGCTACTTCACATGCAAGTATTATGCTTTTGTTAGCTATGAGCATAGTGTGAAAACGTGTCATCATTTTTGTTCTTTATCCCAGCAAATTCTCTTAAAATAAAGAAACTTTCATTTCTTCTTTATTTGTGTTGGTTTCCTTTAATATTTTTCCATTTTTAGCGGATTTTTCAAGGGTGCCCACAACCGGGTACAAAATTTTTTTTGTCAAAAAATTCCCATTTCACTAAATTTCTAATAAAACTTTTTTATTTAAAGGAATCAATTTAATTCCTTCACTGACAGTCACCTTAGACCTCTAGCTTTAAATTCGTACACATATATTTGTATAATATGCACATGGACAAATGTTATGAGGCAAAAACAAAAGGGTGCCCACAACCGGAACACTTCCCTTAAATATTACAATGTTTTTTGAAGTTTCGACTTGTAAAAATATTATTAAATTATTATTTGGTTGAGTGTTGAATTAGTTTCTTTTCAAGTCTTAAATAATTTTCAAATAATAATACAGCTAGAAATTCAACTTATCCGAATATCAATTTGATAGAATTATTTCGGCGCGAATTTTAAAATTGACCAATCATAATTGTTGAAAATAACAAATTTGTTAGGTAAACTTAATCACATATTCAAATAGTAATATTTTCCTAATTAAATAGTTAATGGTAACTAATTATTAGTTTTTCACAGTCAAATTAAATACCCGTATATTTCCCGATTGGTAAACGACCTTTCAAATGTACCCAGTGGGAAATTTCCAACCGGCGCGGATCCTCGCCTGTACCGACGCCGGAGTAGTGGTACTGGCTGGGAACCGCCCGAGAACTGGTATTCTACCATAAGATGACTTGGCCAGGAGCTGGCTGGCCATCCGTTTCGGAACTGGCATTCTACCGCCCGGTAACCGGCCGCGAAGAGCCGTTCCGTGTATAATTCAACCGGCTGGGACCCGGCACTGTACCGACTGCGGATCTTTAATTTCCTAGTCAGATGTGCGCTGGCAATGCTGGCATTCTACCGCCTGACAACCGGCTCGGATCAAAATGATAATTTCAACAAATATCAATAAAATATAATAATTAATTGCAAAAGATAAATACGGATGACAATTCATTGACAGTTCACTTTACACATTTTTTTATTTCTTTATACACTTAAACGCAATTTTTTATTAAATACACATTTGAAAAATCCTAACGCTTGGGGGTACGAACCTACGCCTAACCGAATATTTACGCACCGAAATCTCGCACGCTAACCACTATGCTACGCTCGCATGGAACTCTCAAACCTTAAATGCTTTCAAGTCTCACTAGCTGAAATAAAAATTGTAAAATTACTACGCGGCAATAGGCAATTTGGAAATACAAACTGATGTAATACCGGTATATTTTCAATACATTACTGAATGTGAATTTATGAATATTTCAATATTTCGTTTAAAAAAAAATGTTATATTTTTATTATTATGTTTTTTAATATTTTATTACATAATATATCAAATAATATGAACATAACTTCACTGCAAAACAATTTATAACATATAAGTAATAGTATTAAATTGAATAAAATTTAAATGCACAACACATTTTTTTAATTATTTAATTTGCAGAAAAGTGTCAATAAATAATTACTTAATATATTGTTTAAATTAAAAAGAGATTATTAATTAATTAATAATAATCTCTTTTTTATATATTGTATTTAATATGTTATTTATTGTAGGCATTATAATATATTGATCACACTTTCTTTCAAGTTAAATATATTTTACTTCTTTCAAATTAATATATTATTTATTAAAAATTATTTATTTAATTGCACATTAATAAAGTTGGATTTTTATATATATAATGAAAAAATTAAGTTTCTTATATTCTTCCTTTGCATGAATACTATTAATTTATTTATTGGTTAACTAATAATAATATTATAATAAATGCAATTAGTTATTGTAATAATTAATTATAATAATAAAATAAATTTATGATTATACTGATAATGTAAACTATAACAATAAATGACGAGATCCGCAGTCGGATCGGCCCCAGCACCGAGCCAGTACAGACCTAACATCCGTCATTCTTCCGACGCGCGTAGAAGAATGAAATCTGCAGGCGGAACAAATCCAGTACCGCGCCAGTACTGATGCTGATTCCACACTTACCCAGTCGCTCCGCTTTTCCGTGGCGCTTCGCGTGAGACAGAAAAAGATAGAGATAGTCTCTGTCTTTTTCTATCTCACGCAAAGCGCCACGGAAAAGCGGAGCGCTGGGTAAGTGTGGAATCAGCTTGACGAAAGTAGAAAGGCGGATCCAAAAGTCGGAGCCTAATCTGTTCCGCGCCGGTTGCATTTTAGGATCCGAATCGGTACAGACCATCGGTGCTGGCGGTCCGTACGGGCGCGGATCCCAGGCGGTTGTATAATCCGACATTCGTCCGACTTTTCCTCCTGGGTAGTAGTAGAAACTAAAACCGGTCGAATACGGGTATTAGTTATGTTATAAATAAAAATCATTCTCATAGTAATTTGCAGGCTTTATACAGAAAGGTTCGATATTTAAAATTGGAAAAATTTTTGTGCAAAAATGATGAGGGGTACAGCATACTGAAACATATAATGGCTTTGCCACTTCTTCCGGCCAATGAAATAGAAGAGACCTATTTCGAAATAATCGAATCAACTTCATTAAGATTAAGAAGGAAAATACAAAAGTTTCTCAACTATTTCCAAAAACAATGGATAAGAAAAGTAACACCACAAGTATTTTCTGTGTATGTTTTAGAGAGAAGAACAAATAATGTTCTTGAGTCCTATCATAGGCAACTGAAACAAATGTTTGGGATAAAACCACACATTTGGACATTCACAAGTAAGTACAATACTATTTACATATTTTTATACGGGCATAGATCTCTGGAATCTTTAATTTTCATATCCTTCGCATATATTTTCAAAATTTTAATAACTTTTGACTTTGTTTTTATTGGAAATACTAGTTCTTATTACAATAAATAAGTTCCAAAAGATTTTAAATTAAATTTATTAAATATATAAATAATTATTCCATTTTGAATACCCAATTTTTTACACTATATCTACTTGCCTGTCTTTTGCCATAATTTTGGATAGTTTAAACAATAAAACTTTGTAATGAATAAAATTTACTAATTCCAAGGCACATCCCAGTAAAAAAAAACTAATTCAAACGGATTGAAATGAATTAAGATTTTTGGTAGAAAGCGGGATTCATTCAAGCTCTTTGTATATTCGATTGAATTCGATTCAATTTGCCTGAAGTTGTGCAAACAAATTCGCATTCGTAAGAAACGATCAAGGCATGCATTGAATTCGTGATGACGAATTAAAAAAAATTAAAGGCCCCAAAACTTGTTCATTGAATTAGTAAGAATGAAAGGTTTGGAAGTTCAATACAGTTTGACAAATTCAGGAAAATTGCAACATAGCTCCAATTCGCATTTGTCACAAAGCGGGATTCACTGAAACTCTTTGTGAATTCTTTTTAATTTATTTCAATTAGTTTTTGTTTACTGGAATGGTTTTAAAGTTAATTAAACAGTGAACACTTTCCGTACGAAAATTAATGTTTTGTTAATTATGAAACAATTTATGAGATTTTAATAGTTGTTGCTTCTAAACTGTTTGATCGCAATCATCATTTTGGGACAATCGTCAAATTGACTTATGAAATAAATATTCAAATCATTACAATATTATTTTGGGGCATAGTAAATTGATGTGCTTTTTGTTTTCCAAAAACTGTTGTAATTTTAATAACAAATAAACTGTTTATTGCAAAGATAATGTAAAATATTTATCAATTGCGGTTGATTCTAATTGAACGAATTTTTTTTAAAATTGTAATGTATATAGTTGTCGATTCTCATTTTTTATTTAAAAAAGTTTTTGCAGAGAAAGTTTCAATACTCATTTCTATATTGTGTCACGCTCCGAAAAAAGGTACCTAAGAAGCAAAACATTTAATATATATATATAGACAAGTATAGGTTATAAAAATCTCAAATCACTTGTAACTTCGACTATCCGTCATTTTGGTTTTCCGTCAAGGTGTTGGTCCCGTGCCTGACGGAAAATCGAAGTTCCACTGTAATTGTAATTTAGCGTTTAGAACTTGTTATAAAAAAATAAATTTGAAATGTATTTAAATTTTAAATCCTCGTGTAATAGATATTGACAAAAATTATTGAATTGTAAAAAATGTTTTAAAATAATTAAATTTTACAAGAATTATATTTAACTTTTTAACAATAATTGAATGTCTGTGTGATATGTATTTTATTAAATTTTTTTAAAAATAATTTAATTCCTAAAAAGCATTTTATTATTTATAAAAATTATTGAACTCTTGCAAATGATTTTATTAGAATTTTTTAATAAATCATTTTATAGTAATTGAATAATTATGCTAAAAATTGTTATTTATAAAAATAATTAAATTTTCCATAGAATAATTTTGTTATTCAAGTCATAATAAAATTGAATTCTTTCCAAAAATTATTTATGTATAAATAATTGAATTCTTGATATAAATTTAATTAAAATCTAAAAGAATAATTGAATTATTTTAAAAAAATTTAATTAACTTGACCCGTCTACCCCATTGTACCCCACTCTCTTCTAAATCAATTCCTGAGAAGAATTTTAATATTTAAAAAAATAATTGAACATTTGATTACAATATTATCAAAAAAATTTTTAAATAATTGAATTTCCATGAAAAATGCTATTATTAATGAAAGTAATTTAATTATTGAGAAAATTAAAATTATTTTTATAAAAAAAACATTTTGTTAGATTAAAATGTTTAATTTAAATTAAATTGTTAAAAACAACACGAACATAAATAATTGGTTTTTCCTGGATACCAGGGAGAGCATACAGACGCGTCTGTACATTATATATTTCGGTTGAATCTGCCTTCAAGCCGCTAGTCCACTGGATTGACCCCTCAGAAATTATAATTTAACAAAAATGTTTAATATCTCTCCGAGTTTACAAACGAAAAACTATCTGAAACATATATAATACATATAGGTATATACAATATTACATTTTAACACTTTTACTTTTATTCATCTTGAAAAAATGAAACGAGTATTTAAAATTTATAAAGAAGATAAATTTCACTAATATCCCTTTGGTCGAAAAGTTAGAGCAGATAAGGAAAAATCGAATCGACTCCGTAGATATATTATTAAAATAATATTTATCGTTGAGCAAATTAGAAAAAAAAATGTCACAAATGAGAACAAATTAATGATAAAAAACAATTTTTTGAATTTTAATTTTTTAAATATAAATTTTATATACATCACTATTATTAATAAAAGTTAATAACTAATTGAACAAATAGAACAAGTAATGACCGATTAAAATTGAAAATTATAGGTATATTTATATAAAATTAATCAAAGCACAATTTTCTAGTTTATTATTGCAAATAAACTATATTGTCAACCTTAATTATTATTGTATAGCAGACAATGAGACTGTACGTGTACTTACATTGAATATAAACTGCTAAGCTTGCAGTTTAATATAAAATTAGAAATTTTCCTAATTTAATGAATGTTTTTATAAATAAATCACTCATTAATGCATGTATAAACATTGTTATTATATTTTGAATGTAAATAATGAATATCTCTATTTAAAACATTTGAAACCTTCAATAAAGATTTCAATCTGACACAGATGTAACTAAAAAAATAAACTTGACCCATCCAGGACCCATTACATTAGAGTACTAGTAGCACCATCCATTAAGTAAAGCTGAAACTCTGGAAACAGTTACCGTCCATAGTTTTTCAAGCTGTGAATATATGTAGAATAAAGAAGGGAAACTCTTATGCCAAAAAAGATTCGATCAAATGACTTTTCGATCAAATGTCTATTCGATCAAATGTCTATTCGAGCAAATGTCTTTTCGAGCAAATGTCCATTTGAGCAAATGTCTATTCGAGCAAATGTCCATTCGATCAAATGACTATTCGATCGAATGACTTTTCGATCAAATGTCTTTTCGATCAAATGACTTTTCGATCAAATGTCTATTCGATCAAATGTCTTTTCGAGCAAATGTCCAGTCGATCAAATGTCTATTCGATCAAATGACTGTTCGATCGAATGACTTTTCGATCAAATGTCCATTCGATCAAATGTCTTTTCGATCAAATGACTTTTCGATCAAATGACTATTCGATTGAATGACTTTTCGATCAAATGTATTTTCGATCAAATGTCTTTTTGAGCAAATGTCCATTCGATCGAATGTCTTTTCGATCAAATGACTTTTCGATCAAATGACTTTTCGATCAAATGACTATTCGATCGAATGACTTTTCGATCAAATGTATTTTCGATGAAATGTCTTTTCGAGCAAATGTCCATTCGATCGAATGACTTTTTGAGCAAATGTCTTTTCGATCTAATGACTTTTCGATCAAATGACTATTCGATCGAATGACTTTTCGATCAAATGTCTTTTCGATCAAATGTCTTTTCGATCAAATGTCTTTTCGATCAAATGTCTATTCGAGCAAATGTCCATTCGATCAAATGTCTATTCGATCAAATGACTGTTCGATCGAATGACTTTTCGATCAAATGTCCATTCGATCAAATGTCTTTTCGATCAAATGACTTTTCGATCAAATGACTATTCGATTGAATGACTTTTCGATCAAATGTATTTTCGATCAAATGTCTTTTTGAGCAAATGTCCATTCGATCGAATGTCTTTTCGATCAAATGACTTTTCGATCAAATGACTATTCGATCGAATGACTTTTCGATCAAATGTATTTTCGATGAAATGTCTTTTCGAGCAAATGTCCATTCGATCGAATGACTTTTTGAGCAAATGTCTTTTCGATCTAATGACTTTTCGATCAAATGACTATTCGATCGAATGACTTTTCGATCAAATGTCTTTTCGATCAAATGTCTTTTCGATCAAATGTCTTTTCGATCAAATGTCTATTCGAGCAAATGTCCATTCGATCAAATGACTTTTTGATCGAATGTCGTTTCGAGCAAATGTCCATTCGAGCAAATGTCTATTCGATCAAATGTCCATTCGAGCAAATGTCTTTTGGGAAGAATTACTGCGCCTCTCTCAAACAGTGAAGGGGTTAAAAAAAATTCGCGAAAAACGGCAAAAAAACAGCGTTCTAATGTTGTTTTCCCCCTTAACTGACTAATATTTAATTTTTTTTATATTATAAAAATTTTGTATTTTCTTATAAATTGAAATTTAAAAATAAATTAATATAAATAATATAATTTTGTAATTTGTAAACTTTTTTATAAAAATGTTTTTTGTTTAAAAAAATTAGGTAGGATAGTGTTGTATTATTATGATTACTATGAGTAAAAATGAAAAATTAAAAAAAATTTATATTGTAAATGTTTTGAAAAAGACAATTTTTGTTTTAGCTTGATACTTTTTTAACCAGAAATAGCCAAGCATTTAAGTTAAGATAATACATAAAATTCTGTCATGTTTGGCTTTTTTATTTACATATTTATAAATATTTATTGACAAATCTTTTAAAACTAGTTTAACTGGAGTTAAAGTTTCTCTTAATCTAATATAAAATCTGAAAAGTGAACAAATTCAAAATTTTAAGCAAAAGTAATCTCGCATGTCTCTTCACTTTCAGAATCATCCATTCCAGATTGACGAACATTAAATGACCGGGTTTCATTTAAATTTCTTGTTTTCACGTTCTTTGTGCCATAAATATTGACAGCAGTCATTGAATCCAACATTTTTTGAGTTGGTTCAAATTTTCCACATCCATGCTGTGAAACACATTCGGACGCGCTTAAAATACCTTGTAAAGTAGCGGGAAGAAACTTATTCCTTGATTTAGTTTTTACTTGATTTACTTTAGAAAAAAGTCGTTCACAGCTGACATTAGAATGTGGCAACGCTAAAACGTCCAGAGCAAATTGACCTAATTCTTTGAATT